ATCTTTACCTTAAATAAGCCTATGGTCTTTTTGAATTTACAATAACATATCATTGGAATTTCAGAGTAATTTCCCTTTTTCTGGACCCCTCAAAGCACAAGCACCACTCGGCAGAGACCACAAATTCACTCATTGTTATTGAGTTAATTATTGACTGTTAACTATCCTGCACTCACCTAAGTAAAAGAAGTGTGTGTCTATCATTTTACTTTTTATCCAATCCCAGAGGTTTCCCCCGCTTTGCTTTCTCCCACCTCCCTAACCTATCACCAATGGTTTTTATGTAACCCACTTATGTCTCTTCCTTTGATTGTAATGCATAAAACAAGGTGAAAAACTACCATTCTCTGGAGCATTATTCCAAATTCACTGAGATTCTGCTCCCCAGCAATTGTCGACAGTTTGGCTCAAATAACTCACAAAAATTCTTTACAAGTTTGAATGTTTTTATGTTAATAGCATCCTTAGTATAGTTACAAGGAATCAAAGGTAATTAGTTTTAGCCCAGCCGGTGTTGCTCAGTGGTTGAGCAGCGACCTATGAACCAGTAGGTCACAGTTCGATTCCTGGTCAGGGCACATGCCCATGTTGCGGGCTCAGTCCCCAGCGTGGGTCGTGCAGGAGGCAGCTAATCAATGACTCTCTCATCGATATTTCTGTCTCTCTCTCCCTCTCCCATCCTCTCTGAAATCAGTAAAAAAAATTAAAAGATTATCAGCTTTAAAAAGCTCATGAAACATGAGTATTAGTAAGATACTTTTGAATAAGACTGCTTATTTAGAAACTATTCATTATATTGTCTATAATTATTTTAAATACTTAGAATAGTATTTAAAGAATTATATATATATATATATATATATATATATATATATATAGACATATACTTGTGTGTATAATTATTTAATCAATTAGGTATCTCCTCCATTAGCTAATTTGTTAGTTTAAATCTAATTAGTTAAATTAGTTAACAATTGAAGCCTTAAACCAATCTATGGCTGGGTTTTTATATTGAAAACCACTAAGATCAGAAGCTCACACTCCAGTTCCCCTCTACAATCCTTCAACATGTTTCATATCAGATCTGTAATAGAGGGTGTACTAATCAGCACAACAAATTTTAGACATGAGTTTAAAACTGGGAATAAATAATATTCCAACTACATGAATTGCCTAGAAATATTTTACAGGCCTGGCTGCCTTGCATAAATAGGGTACAAGAAAAAAGTAGGACCAATAGTTTACATTTTTTGCAGTGGCTCCCTTCACTAAGAACTTCTTCCCATTTTCATGGGATTCTACTGCCTGATACTACTAAAAGCATAGTTGAGTTCTACACTAGATTTTGCCACATCTGGATTAAAACATCTGATGTGAATGAACCTCTCCTGTAAGATGCTTGTGGAGTGTCCAAAGAAATAGCATAGCTTACAGATAGGCTGAATGACTGGAGAATTTACTGTTAAAAAATGTATATGTAGTAAAATGCACACTAAATTTTGCTTGTATTGTAACATACCACTCTGCAGTAAGGTTGTAGGGGAGGATACCTATGAACCTCACTTGGCAAAAGAACATACCAGTTGTGGAAAAAAACAATTTGATTTATATCTATTTGCAACTCTACATTTTCTGTAATTTTTTGGCACTTATTCCCCATCTTATGTTATAGGTTTCTAAAAATTTAATCCTTATCTGCACTCGACTGTGAACTCCTTGGTGGCAGGGGCAGTGTTTAATTTGTTCACATTTATGCTCCTCTAGCCTTAGTCCCATGCCTTGAACATAATAAGTACCTAGTGAATACTGATTGAGCAAAGTGAACTTGTGAGAATATGACCTAAGCTCAACTGAATTTGACCCCTCACCCTGAATCTAAGTAAAGTAAATGCATAAGCATGATTGAAAGCTGTATAATCTGTTCAAGAAAAATAAGCACCTTTTTCTTCAAATGGTCATTCCTTTTTATTTTTAAGATCTTTGTAACATTAATCAAAAACAAAAACCCAATTTTAAATAGTACCAATTTGCATCCAAATAATTAAAGAAGAATTCTAAAGGAAAAGTTTTAATTGGTATTACATGTGTTTTAGTCTTATGAGGTAATTTATTCCAAAGTGGTACAAAATTCACAATTTTCACCAGTTTTAAAACTAATCTTTTACATTTTCTATTAGCTTCACTAGACCTAGTGTTATTTCTTTCTGAATGTTCAGAACATGAACAAGACACTTGTCAAACTTTGCCTCATACCTTATATATTGTATTACATCATCCTAATTATACAATTTGTTTGGATATAAATTTATTTTCTAGAAATAAAAACAAAAAGATAGAATTTTCACTAAACAAACAAAATAGTTCTTCTAAACAGTAGACTATCTCTAAAAGGATATAGTTATAACAGATAGCTGTGGCACTCTTTTTGGTAGCAGAAATATCAAATTAAGAATACTAGAGGAATACATATTTATGGAAAGCTTTTGTATTTGCTTTTGCAAATCAACTTTAGACAAAACTTTTTTTTGTTACCTTACTTCTGAAGAAAGCAAACAATAATATGAAGTACCTTAACAGATAATTTTGTTTTTGAAATTTAAAATCAGTATCACCAAATTTTATATGCTATATAACTTATTTTAAGCAGTATAGGTAATTTTTTCTGCATTTTTGTTTTATAATGCACACAGAACAAACAAAATTTGACTGGTTTAACAAAGCCAAAAAATGAATTTTATCCATAGGTCTTATTAAGGATATTCTTCTGAGCAGTGATGTGGAACCACCCACACATGAAAAATAGTACAGAGCTGGTCTAAAACTTTTATATTACTCAAATATACCATGAGATGACTGTGAAAAAGGTAATCTGGCTAATACTGTTTAAGCTCTGTAGGATGCTTATTGAGAAAAGAACAATTCTGAAATACAAAAATGACTTTTAAGTGAGAAGTTTTAGCAGTACTTTTTTTAAAACTCTTATCTACCAATATTTATTGTAACAATTGAATAGAACTACAGGAAGCCCTTGGCACTGACAGAGAATATTGATTCTCTGTTAGGTTACAAAAATTTATTCATAGCAAAATTGAATGCTCTTTACATAAAAATATCAGACTACTTAAAAAACTTTAAAAATTTCTGGTAATAGCTAACAGAGTTAGAAAAGTGAAATTAAACATTAGATATTGCCTATTCTAGAACACTGGACTATAACAGCACCTTCACTGCTCTAAAAAATATTTAAGTCTGTCATACAACAGGAAAAAAAAAAGAACAAGATTTTCTGTAGCAACTGTTTCACTCAGAGGAGAGCTTCTCCCAGTTAAAACAAATGAACAAACAAACAAACAGGCCTTGGCCACAGTGGCTCAGTTAGTTGGGAGTGGTCCCGTGTACCAAAGGGTTGCTGGTTCGATTCCCAGTCAGGGAACATGCCCGGGTTTTGGTCTTGATCCCTGGCAGGGGGCAACCAATCAATGTTACATTCTCACATATATGTTTCTTTCTGTGTCTCCCTCTCTCTTCCTTTCTCTCTAAAAAATTAATAAACTATGCTTAAACAAACAAAAAACTCCACCACCACTACCACCAAAAAAAAAAAAAAAAAAAAAAATTCCAAAAAAGAAAAAAAAACCTTGTCAAAATCCAAATAGGTATTTTTAGGTGTCATCAACAGCAATCAAAAAATATCCAGATGAAATACCATACTTGCTGTTCAATCTTAATAGCCTCTTGATAAAGGCAATCTTCCTTTCATTTTAATATATTTCTGCACATGTATATGTTTTATAATTTAGGAAACAGCCAAAACACAAGATAATTCTTAGCATGAATATACATAGTCAACTATATATTATGCATCCCCCTTAAAAAAAAACAAAAACTGATGTCCCCAACAGTTACATGTATCATTTCATAAAGAACAACACAATATCCAATACCTATAGTCACTTAATGTTCCGGAATACTGAGATTGAGAAGGCAAGTTTCTTTTGAAAATAGCTTAAAATCAATGCTCAGTGGTTTAGCATGGAACCATGAACCAAGAGGTTACCAATTCAATACCCTGTCAGTGCACATGTCCAGGTTTTGGGCTCGATCCCCAGTAGGGGGCCTGCAGAAGGCAGACCATTGGTATTTCTTTCTCTTTGACGTTTCTCCCTCTCTATCCCTCGCCTCTTCCTTACTCTCTAAAATCAATAAAGACATGTTTTTAAAAATCAAGTGTTGTTTTATGTTTGTTTTTTCTGAACATCAAACTTTATTATTCTAGGAAACTAAAATTTAGATTAAAACTGAAATAAATACCAACTCTAATTTTAAATTAATTATTCAAGTCTATAAAAGTATACTATTGATCTATTTGCAATTAGGTTTTAGATAGTTGGTATAAAACTATATGTAAACTCACTATTCAGACTATCACAACAGAACCTGGTCCTATCCTATTTCTAACAAGACTCAGAACCAAACTTTAAACCTTGGATACACCACTTAACAAGTAACATTTGTGTTAATACAGCCCTATACTTGCTAACAGACTTGATGGTGTGAGTACTGTGTGGGTTTTGTTTTTGAACTTTCTCATTCTACAGGCTACCTACAAGTCAGGGGCTCAGACACAAATAATGCAATGTATACACTCTGAATATTGTGGATAATAAAGAACACCTTCCCTGACCTGCTCACCTTGGGTGGGTTGGGAACTGAGTGATGGAGATGCCGGGCAAGGACATGTGACATGACAGGGCAAGATACAGAGGTGACAGAGCCATTTAATGATGAAAAGTCTCTGGCCAAGGCCCAGGTTTTCAAGGCTGAGGTGCTGGAAGAAGTAGCGGCATAGAGCTATGATCAAAGTCTCACAGACTACATGCTAATAACATGGGTTGGGTAACAAGTTCTCAGCATGGATGTTCCAAGTCTGGTGGCTCACCTGGCATGGTCTGGGTGAGCTGGGAAGCCCTAGGGCCAGGCCAATGTCCCCCAGGTGGTCCTCATTCGGGGGGCAGAAAAGGTGGTTTTTTCAAGCTAAAATTGGACCAGTCTATGGACAGTCTTTGTCGGGTCTGTCTGGTGGAATCCAAGCAGAATCTTTTGAAATACTCCACTTCCCTCTCTGTCTCATCCATCTCCACATTTTCTAGGTCAATGTCTTTAGGCATAAAGACATCTTCGAACAAGGTGTCATCTCCTTCTCCGTCTCCCTTCTTCTTCCTGTTTTTCTTGCTCTTGCCCTTGGGCTGAGGGGTGTCTGCCAACACCTGCTTGCTGTGGCACACCTGCTTACTACGGCAGGAGGGCTCAGGGGGGCCTGAGCTTGCCTTCCCTGCTTTGACCTGTTCCAGCTGTTTCTTGTTACTGTTTCTGTTGATTTTTCTCTCCTTTCTCTGCTGCTCTGACATCGAAGTGAGATCAAGCTCTTTAGCCTTTGGCTCACTCTGGGTCTGGGATCTGGGCTGGATCTCTGAGGCTCCGGAGAACTCTGCAGGCCCCCTCCTTGGCTCGCTGCTGGCCTTCCATGCCTGTTTTGGCTTTTGTTTTCCAGTCCCCTCCTTGTGGTGATGCTTTGTGTCTAGGAGAAAAGAGAAGGGCTCCTGCTGCTTCCCACTGACCTCCTTCGTCAGGACAAACTTGGAATCCCCATGAGCCCCTGACCCTGTGTGGACTGCGTGTCTGGAAGGTGAGTGAGAAGAGGTTTTTGGTTCTTCAGTTTGCTCTAGGGAACCACTGTCCAACTTGGGAAAGTCTTTTCTTAGTTTCTCCTTCTTTTTCACAGCTTGGGGTTTCTGAAGCTGCTCCTTCATTTCCTCCTGTTGTTTCTGCTCCTGTTGCCTCTGCTCCTCTTGGAGGTGCTCTTGTTCCCGGGCCTTGGCCTCTGCTTCAAGGCAAGCTTTCTCCTCCAGCTTCTTTTGTTTATGTCTTGCCCTCTTGGCTGCCCGTGTGGTGCTCACAGGCTTGGTATCTGAACTGTCTATGAACTGCAGCAAGTCCTCCACTGTGCGATGATCCGCCGCACTCTCCTGTTCAGAGAGCTGATCTGTTTTCTTCGATTGCTCTTCTTTTCTCTTTGCCAGCCGGAAACGAAGCTTTTCCCTCATGCCTTCATAATTTCTACCTCTTTGTGCAGCTGAAGGCCAGTTGCGCCTGAAGAATTCACAGCAGTAGTCACAAAACTTGCCTTCCTTCTGGCCAGCATAGGTGCAAGTGCAGACGCAGCTGCTGGTGCTGGTGTTGGAGCTGTGCTCAGAGCAACTGTCTTTGTTTGCACTCTTTTCCCTGCCTTTCTGCCTTGGGTTATAGCCACCTCTCTTGCTACCCTGCCCTTTGTAGTGGGGGCTGTAACAGGATGGCATAGCCAGGATCGAACTGCTGATGAAGAAGCCGGCAGGCTCCCCCCGGGCATCAGACCTCTTCTTCACTACCTCGGTATTGTTGTCATCCGATGGATACATTTCAGCAAGTTTAGCTGACAATGAAGCCACATCATCATCACTGCAAGTAGTTGGTGTAGATACATTGTCTGTGTGGGTGAGTCTGGGCTGCTGCTGGATTGGAATGGGAGAGCTAGAACCTGACCCCAAGCTTCCTAATGACATGCTGGGCAGGTGACTCTCAGAGAGACGGTCAGGAGCAGATGAACCCATTTGGTGTGGCAGCTGGCAGACGTGGGTGTTGCTGGGAGTGGCAGGGTCCACGATGCTACCAATAAGGATGTGTGAGCGGCGATCAGGTGATGACAGCACATGCCTCATGGCACTGGTCAAGTTCTCACCAGTGCCCACTCTCCTAGCGGTTAACTGCTCTTCATGGAATTGCCTTTGTTGCAAATGCTTTAACTCTTTTGCTAGCTTGGCTTTCATTCTCACCTTCTCCTTGATGTAGACAGTGACCCGCTTCTGGCACTGCAACCACTCCTTGGCAACACTCTGCATCTCCTCCTCGAAGTGCTGGTACTGTTGCAGCAAGGCGCTGTATAAGTCCCTGCTGCAGGTGTCTTGCAATGTAGTTCCCAGCCTGATTTGCAACACCAGTGCTGGCAAGTTGCTCTGGAGAAGCATCTCTGAAAAAACCAGATTTTCAAACAGGTGTTTATTATGCAGTTCCCATGTCACCTGGAACACAGTCAAGTGTTTATTTTCTAGGGTGGTGAGGAAGGTGCTGATGGTGCGTGCCGCCTGGCAGAAGTTGCCATACTCCTTGAGGAGCAGGGAGATGAAATGGTAGGCTTGCACAGGATTCTGCAGGCAGGATGGCACTCCGGATGAGGTTGACAGCCGTCGCAGGAGGCCGATCTTCATCTCCAGCAGGTAATCTCGTGCTTGTTGATCCAACCGCTGGTATAGCTGGGAGGGGTCTGACTTACAGAGTCTATCTATGAGCTCCTTCACCCACTCTCTGTCGGGCACCAGCGTGGTCCCTGCCTGGCGGTATATGCCGCGGACAAGGTAGCGCACTTCTGCCCAGTAGTCCTGCAGCTGCTGCGACTCGGGGTCTAACTCTGGGGAGATCGCTCTGGGCTCCTTGCAGACCTCAACGCAACGTGGGGTCTCTGAGGGTTGGGGCAGCCTCCCGCCACTTGCCCCTTCCGGGGATTCACTACGAGGGCCTTGGTCAGGGTCGTCATGGCCCGGTGATGACTGGTCTGAGCCGCGATAAATCCCCAACTTCTCTAAGGTCCACTGGCAGTGCAGACACACCCACAGCGCCTGGTATGGCTCACTGCTGCCCATGGGAGCCATGAAAAGGCCCAACTTCCTCGCAACCTTAATCCCACTCTCTAGAGAAGAAGAATCTTTACGCTCGGTTCTGCACAGAACACAGTAATCAACAGTGGCGGAGGGTGGACTTCTTCGAGTGTCCCCAAAGTTAAAAGAAGTCTCCGAGTAGCCTCCGGAAGCGGCGCTGCCCACAGGCTCGCTCACGCGGACGGGTCGGTCTGCCGCCATTGTGGCACCCGGGACTCCAACGGCAGTGTCCTGCGAGCTGCCCAGCATGGCAGTTGGGCTGTCCCTGCCACTGCTTATGGCGCTGTGGTCCCCGCCTCCACCACCCCGCTTGTTCTTACGGCGCTTGGCCCCTCCTTTAGCACTGGCCCGGCTCATGGCTAGAGGGCGGCTGGCGGCTGGAGCCGCAGTGGGCACTGGGCACAGACGGTGGCTAAGGGCAGGGAGGTTAAGGGGGCCGTGGGTCACTGCTAAGCTTCGCCAAGGGCTAGGGCACTCTACGTGGGTACCTTGTCACCTTATGATGGGTGGGGAAGGCCTGGTTGATGGGAGCTGATGGGACGGCTCGAGGTGCGAAGAACTGCGAGTCCACCAACGGCGTCGTTGACCGTTGACCGTTGGAATCCAATATGGCGGACAAAAGGGGCCAGTGATTCCAGTTTCCCAGTTTCCCTTGCGAGGGTGGGGTGGGGGGTGGAGGGAGGAGGGGGAAGTTGTCAGGAGGGGGAAAGAGCTGAGCAGTGGTGAAAGGAGCGGTCAGGACCGGTAGAGGGAGGGGCGCCCCACTCCTCCTGATGTTAGCACTTTTTAAAAATTTTTTTCAATTACCATTTAATTCAATATTATTCTGTGTTATTTTCTGATGTCCAACAAAGGGCTTAGAAAATTGTGTACTTTATAGAGTGGTTCCCCCCAATGCTTCAAGTACCCACCTGGCCTCATTCTTTCATAGTTATTACAGTATTATTGACTGTATTCCAATGCTATAATCTATATCTCTGTGACTGTTCTGTATCTACCCATTAACACTAGTTAATCCCTTCACCTTTTTCACCCAGCCCCTCAACCCCTTCTCCTCTGGCAGCTGTCAGTCTCTTCTCTGCATTTATGAGTCTGTTTCTGTTTTGTTTATTCATTTATATTGTTTTTTTCTTTATGTTTTAATCTTTATTGTTGAAAGTATTACATATGTCCTCCTTTTCCCCCCAAAGACCTCTTCTAGCCTGCCCCTGTCCTATATTGTTCTTTAGATTCAACATATAAGTGAAATCATATGCATTTGTCTTTTTCTGTCTAACTTATTTCACGTAGAATAATACCTTCTCTAGATCCACTCATGTTGTTGCATGATGGTCAGAATTAATTTTTTTATACCCGAGTAAAAAAAAAAAAAATATATATATATATATATATATATATATATATATATATATATATATATAACTCAATCATCTACTGCTGGGCACTTGGGTTGCTTTCATAGCTTCACTATTGTAAATAATACTGCAATGAACATAGGGGTACATATATTCTTTTGAATTGGTGTTTTCAGTTTCTTCAGATATATTTCCAGAAATGGAATCACTGGGACACAAGGCAGTTCCATTTTTAATTTTTTGAGAAACCACCATACTGTTTTCCATAGAGGCTGCACCAATTTGCATCCCTACCAATAGTGCATTAGTGTTCCCTTTTCTCCATATCCTTACCCACACTTGTTATTTGTTGATTTATTGATGATAACCAATGAAGTATCTAATTGTGATATTAATTTGCATTTCTCTGGTGATTAGTGAAGTTGAGGAATTTTCAAATGTCTATTGGTCATCTGTATGTCTTCCTTGGAGAAGTTCTATGTAGATTTCTGCCTACTTTTAAATTGGATTGTTTTTTTTTTTTCTGGTGCTAAGTTGTCTGAATTCTTTATAAATTTTGGATATTTACTCCTCATCAGATGTAGCATTGGTGAATATGTTCTACCATTCAGTAGATTTTATTTTCATTTTGTTGATTCTATGAAGGCTTTTGGGGTTTCATTATAATATAAATTCTTAGAAATTTAAAGCAAATTCTCATTAATGCAGAGCTGACATTTATTTTTTTAAAAAAAATGATGACAAGTAAGTCATTTTATTAAAATGAAGTAAAATTGATTTTGGAAAACTTGTCAATGAGTCGGAATCCAGCTTTTTCAATGGTATGTGTAGCACGATTATAGGGGCTCATTTTAGCATTATTGAAAAAAAAAAAAAGATTTCTGGTTGGATCAGAAAAGTAGGGGGGGACACTCAGCTAATTTTTTAAAAAGGTTAATTGTAAGTATCAGATTATCTTTGATGAGCCACAGTATAATAAATGTCAGCTGTCAGAAATGGAACTTCACACCAATTTCATTTTATTCTCTTTTTAAATATATTTATTTGAGGATAGATGGCACACGTGAATTTATGGTCACATTCCATGATGCTAGTACATCACAGATTCCTATCAAGGAATATGCCATATTCCCATTGCCTGTGTTGGTAACACTGTTCTAGCAATAAATGCCAACATGCCACAAATTTCAAAAGGATGAATAATCATTATTTCAAAGTGTTGCCTTTTAAAATGGCTTACATGAAACTTTCAATGTCTGTGCTAAAGAAAAAGATTTACCTCCCAGCAGCTTGGGACAATGAAGTGTTTGTACTTCTACATTAGTTTGTTTGGTGGGATACACATCAGTACTGCAGGGCAGCTGTCTGTCAGAGTTGTATATTTGTTGGCTGAAGCTCTCTGGCAAACATTTGTGTAAAAATTGAGTTGTTTTTTTACTACGACTGGATATCTTGCAGTTCCTGTTCTTCCTTTGCTTTGATATCCTAGTAAACCTGCAATTTCCTTTCATCCTTTAAGAAAGCCCTGTTAGAATACAGTCTCATGAGGAAGTAGACCAGGGAGATGACAGTGGCACCAGCTCCCACACATGCCACAACGAAAAGGTGATAGGTCATGTAGAACTGATTTGTATAGCAGATGTTCTAGGACACAACCACATATTTTTCCTGGGAAAGCACTTAAAGGAATGATATACTACAATGCTGATCTGCTCCATACTGACTGTCCTGTTGGTCTGGATGACTTTGATAACTTAACAAATTGACTATATTCTATAGAACTTAAACACAGCACCCCAGAGAAACCAATCACTCTTAGCCAGGCCATTCCCACCACATAGATGAGGAAGAACAACATTCCAGGGATGCAATGGCCACAGACAATTGTTTAAAATGCTCTGTGCAGTTCTTTCTCTGCCCTTGTGCACAAAAGCCTTCTCCCAACAGAGTGATAACATACAAAAAGAAAAAGAACACAATTCCATAAATAATATATTGCATGAGTGGTATTACCTCACTTAGCAAGGCATGGCCACTGGTGTTTATAGAGAGGGGTTGCTCAAACTGAAAGCTTTTTCTTTAAGATCAGAAACAAGACAAGGATGTCCCCTTTCACTACTTTTATTTAACATACTATTGGAAGTTCTAGCCACAGCAATCAGATAAGAAAAAAGAAAAAGAAATAAAATGCATCCAAATTGGAAAAGAAGAAGTAAAACTCATTATTTGCAGGTGACATGATAGTATATATATATGGAGAACCCTAAATAATCCACCAAAAAACAATTAGACAAATAAATGAATTCATTAAAGTAACACACTACAAAATTAATATTCAGCTATCAGTTGCATTTTTTTAAATTTATTTATTTATTTTTTTAATTTATTGCTTAAAGTATTACAAAGGGTATTACATATGTGTCCATTTTATCCCCCCGCCCTAGACAGTCCCCTAGCCTCCCCTATCCCCCAGTGTCTTATGTCCATTGGTTATGCTTATATGCATTCATACAAGTCCTTTAGTTGATCTCTTACCCCCCTACCTCCTGCCCCCCAACCCTCCCCGGCCTTCCCGCTGCAGTTTGACAATCTGTTTGAGGCAGCTCTGCCTCTGTATCTATTATTGTTCAAAAGTTTATAATGGTCTCTATTATCCATGAATGAGTGAGATCATGTGGTATTTTTCCTTCATTGACTGGCTTATTTCACTTAGCATAATGCTCTCCAGTTCCATCCATGATGTTGCAAATGGTAAGAGTTCCTTCCTTTTTAGAGCAGCATAGTATTCCATCATGTAGATGTACCACAGTTTTCTAATCCATTCATCTACTGATGGGCACTTAGGCTGTTTCCACATCTTAGCTATGGTGAATTGTGCTGCTATGAACATAGGGGTGCATATATCCTTTCTGATTGGTGTTTCTGGTTTCTTGGGATATATTCCTAGAAGTGGGATCACAGGGTCAAATGGGAGTTCCATTTTCAGTTTTTTAAGGAAACTCCACACTGTCTTCCATAGTGGCTGCACCACTCTGCATTCCCACCAGCAGTGCACAAGTGTTCCTTTTTCTCCACATCCTCTCCAGCACTTGTCGTTTGTTGATTTGTTGATGATAGCCAGTCTGACAGGTGTGAGATGGTACCTCATTGTTGTTTTGATTTGCATCTCTGGGATGATTAGTGACTTTGAGCATGTTTTCATATGTCTCTTGGCTTTCTGAATGTCCTCTTTTGAAAGGTGTCTATTTAGGTCCTTTGTCCATTTTTTGATTGGATTGTTTATCTTCCTTTTGTTAAGTTGTATGAGTTCCCTATAAATTCTGGAGATTAGGCCCTTATCAGATATGACATTGGCAAATATGTTTTCCCACACAGTGGGTTTTCTCGTTGTTTTGTTGATGGTTTCTTTTGCTGTGCAGAAGCTTTTTATTTTGATGTAGTCCCATTTGTTCATTTTTTCTTTAGTTTCAAGTGCCCTAGGAGCTGTATCAGTGAAGAAATTGCTTCGGCATATGTCTGAGATTTTGTTGCCTTTGGATTCTTCTAGAATTTTTATGGTTTCCTGTCGTACATTTAAGTCCTTTATCCATTTTGAGTTTATTTTTGTGTATGGTGTAAGTTGGTGGTCTAGTTTCATTTTCTTGCATATATCTGTCCAATTTTCCCAACACCATTTATTGAAGAGACTATCTTGGCTCCACTGTATGTTCTTGCCTCCTTTGTCAAATATTAATTGAGCATATTGGTTCAGGCCGACAGTTGCATTTTTATACACCAACTAGAGGCCCAGTGCACACAAATTTGTGCATGAGGGTTGGGGTTCCTCAGCCCGGCCTGCGCACTCTGGCAGCCTGGGAGCCCTCAGGGGATGTCCACCTGCTGGCTTAGGCCCACTCCCCATGGGTAGTGGGCCTAAGACATCAATCAGACATCCTTAGTGCTGCCGAGAAGGCTGGAGAAGGCAGGAGAGGCTCCTGCCACCGCCGCCGCACTTGTAGCCAT